AATAACAATCATTTTAAAAACAGATATCTATCTAACACTCACGCACCCAACGTTGATCATGACAACATCCAATTCTTCACTAACCAAACACATCAACTATAACAACACCCTGCGAAGCTACCATTGCAGTAATGATAAAGAAAACTTACTTGTTCAGAGTGGCAGCATACCGTGTGAAAGGTAGAAGAAAACCCAAGACAAACCATTGCACCAGATATAAATGCGTAAAATACCAAAAAGTCTAACCAATGGAGTGTAGATTGCTTTGACAGTACATAAAAATATGTTGTAAATGCTAGAAAAACGAACATGATAGCTCCAACGAGATGAGACCAAATGTTAACTATTTGTAAAGAATGTGTGAATAGAGAGAGTATTAAAGAAAAAGGAATGACGGAAAATACGTAGAATAAGGTAAAGAGATTTCATAACTTACTGCTTTCATTGTGAATGTAGAACAATGATTGGATGCACTTGATATAAGAAAACGTTGGTCTTCGATATCCTAAAAAAAAAAAAAAATCAAAATCAAAATGCCGTTGGTGTATTTGCAGATCCCTTTGCCTCCTCTCCAACGATAGCTACCTCTTAGGATGTCTACGTTGTCTTGAAGCCAGGTTGGTAAATCCCCGAAATTACAAGTCAGGCTAATTTTTGTTGATAATGGTGGAACATTATCAATTATGTCTAATTTCTTTGCATCCATGGGATTATTAATGGAAATTGTTTCTTCCAAGAGTGTAGATTCTGAAGAGTATCTCCTTGATGCAGACATTTTGCGATTTTTTAGCATAATAATAAGTGTTACACAATATGCAGATATTAAGTTGATCCGATGTTTCGAATATTTAGATTCGCCGGAATTTATATTCGGTTTTTTGATCTAATAAAAATAACAGAAATCCATATCAGCGAATCGGCGCAAAAAAAAAAGCTTTAATCAAACAAAGCAGTATAAGACTTGCATTAATAAAAATCTTCAATTTAAAAATAAATTAGATCCCGATGCACCTCAATCTAACGAAGAACGTTAAGTTAAGGAAACAGAGTAAATCGGGAGAGAGTGTAAAAACTTTTTGATCGTTTTTTCATTGCATTTTTATATGAACGAATAGATTACATATCACTACTAATAAAGGAAATAATCATTGATTCTAATACAAACATGTGAGGAAATATATGAATCATTATATGTACATCGTACGTATTTACTCGGTAAACTAAGCCTGTGTTTAAATAAATTTGGGGAATTGGGGTTATGGAGAAAGTCGTACTGGTAACATCGTTCTTTTTTTT